TTCTTCAGCACTGTGATGGCATAAAATACTAACTTGTTGATGATGCAAACTTTAAACATCACACTTAGAAACACATGACATTCTCCGTTTTTAGATTTTGAATGTGGCAAAAGAGATTTGGGATGAATTGGCAGATGTGATTCATTTTTCAAAAAACATTCATAAACTTTACACATAAGTCATTTTAAAGCAGAGGCATAAGGAATAAGCGTGGAGTGCATTGTTGGTAAGGAATTAAGTAGGGTTCAGAATTAAAGGGTTGAGATGAAGCATCTCATTGGGTGACGACCTGTGTTAAGACAGGTCCTACTTGTAAATAATCTTGAAATGGTCCCATTTATTTATAGAGGATCATATCGTATTCCAGGGAGGGAAATGTGGAATAAACTGCAAATATCTGTCATCATAGGGTAAGGAGGAAAAAATAACCAATTAATCATAAAAGGGATTTTCCCCCCTCAGCACTTTATTTGCCATTTATTAGAGACTAGGTAGAGTATTAGACAATTTGAAATGAAGTATGTCAAGTTTGCAAAATATCATTTTTCCATTTTTACAGATGAAGAAACTGAGGCTTATTATGCATGATTCGGTAACTTATCCAAGGATCAGAGACTGTAAGTGGTGGGACTGGGAACTTGTTTTGGAACCTATATTCCAGAGCTTCTTTCTACTAATATCTTTTCTAGTAGAAATCATTTCAATACTCCGTAAAAAGGAGACTTTGAAGCATGAGTTACAATCCAGGAAGGACACCCAGAAGTAAGTACCAATGGATGGTTCTCAATTAGTGGGACAAGAAGTTGTTAATGTGGCGTCTGCACCTTTATATGGGCACCGAGCATTGTCTCGAGATGGAATAATGAATCTACAAACAGGAACACTATTGTTAAAATAACTCCCTAGATGATGCTACGATTGGTAAGATAGGAATTTATTGAAACCATTGTTGAATAGTGGTTTTTGGAAGCATATTTCTTCAATCAGTAGTCACTGGAGGTATCACTCGTTTCATCTGAGGGTGTTGAAATTTTTTAAATTTTGAAATGACATTTTCACACTTACGTGGTGAGGAACCACTGTTGTAAGTTATTCTCCAGCCTTTTCTGACAATTCTAGGGTTGGGCTGGTTGCCCTTCCTTTGCGGCCTCCTAGAGTCCAGTTGGATACCTGAATTCCAGTGGGAAGCTTTTATTAAATGTGTTTATTTAATCAATTAATTTGTTTAATTAAATGTCTTTATTCCATTAAGGGACTGGGCTAGGTGCTGGTAATACAAAGAAAAGTAAGATCCATTTCCTCTTACTTGTAACTACATGTCTGGTTAATTGGATGTTTCATGAATGTCACAGGGACCCCAGGAGCTAAGGAGCATCCTCTGAGGGAAGGGTTTATAACCTTGTTTTCTCTCTTCTCTTTTAAATTAAATTTACTGTGGTATAGTTTATTTTTAAAATGAATACATCTATTTTAAATATACAGTGGTTTCTTTTTTTAAAATCTTTGTATTTCATTTTTTGGTGCGTTTTTTATTATATCTTATTTATTTTTAAAAGATTTTTATTGGGGAATTGGGGGAGGGAACAGCATTGGGGAATTGGGGAAGAGAAACAGACAAGTTGCTGTCCTTTTGTTCTTCAGCCTAGTTGTGGAGGACGTCGCTTCACTGGCCCGTGTTGGTATTGTGATCATTGCATTCTTCCTGGCTGAGGCAGATCAGTCACCGGCCATTGGACGGTTGCTCACGGTGGCTCATGGCAGCTCAAGAAAGCTCATGCCCGGTGCTGGCCAGACCCACTGCAGCCTACGCCGTCACTGGCGACTCACGGCAGCCCAGTTCCAGGTTGAGCTGTTGTTCACCATCTTAGCTGTAGAGGGCGCAGCGTCACTGGTCCTCATGTGGGATCCGAACCAGGGCCCTGCTGCTCAGAGCTGGCGTCCCAAGCCAACTCTTAATCTACGAGCCACTGGCCGGCCCTTAAATGTACAGTTTTGACATACATAGATTTATGTTTCCACTTCCCTAATCACGATTTAAAATATTTCCATCAAACCAGAAAGTTCCCTCATGCCCTTCCCAGTGAACCTTCCCCTCAACCCCACCCAACATCCTTTGAGGCCCAGGCAATCATTGGTATGTTTATAACTAAAGACAAAGCTTCCTGTTCTAGAACGCCACCTAAATGGATCCTACAGAATTAAGGCTGAAAGAGCACTAAGAGTCTGGGGAATTGGGGATCAAAACATAGCTCGGGCCCAGTGATATAGGAGAGTCTCTCAGCTTTTTTTCAGGATGGTGGAGAGGCAGTGAAAGAATGGCGGCTCTGGAAAAAACAAAACTGATGGAAGCTCCGTAAGCTACACGATGTTGGACTGAGGAACCCTAAGGTCAATAAAGCATTGAGCTC